AGTTTGACAACGGTTTTCAACAATATTCTAATGCTTCTTGTTCTACTGGAGTTAGTATTGTTTTGAGGCATCTCGCTACATGGTCTCTTTCGGTAAGATTTGTTTGATAATCTACCCTGTACCTTTCACTTTGCAATGTCTGAGTTCCTGTAAATCTTCTCGTTTTCTCCGCGTTTTGGTTATGTTTGCTTATCCCTGGCGCCTGTAAATTTCTCAGAGCCGTTATGCTTTTCATCGCGACAGGTCAGCGGTCTCAGTACTTTTGTGTTCATTGAATGTACGAATATACAAGGATATAGTTTTATGTTTGCTTAAATTCGATCGATACAGGCTCAAATCTAGGCGCAAGCAGTTCATTTCCTTTCTTACTAGTGCGCTGTATTTCTAACAGCGGAAAAAACTGATTTCGCTTGACCTACTTACACTCCCCGTAAAGACCCATCATCCAACACAGACAGTCTAAATAACTATGAGCTGTCGCTTTTGTGGATCAAGTGGGCATTGCTACTCATTAAGGAACACGTAAGTGGATTTAGATCGCGTGATCGTGTGTTGCTTATTCTCTTGTTGTGCAAAATGCGCACGGCCATTGGGAACCTCTCGGCTCCCTATAAGTGTAAAATTTATATAATATAATCTTTCTCTGTGAATGTTGGTCATGTTACTGTATAAAGTTCTCAATTGAAATAAACAGCAAGCCCCTTTTTCGTTGGTTCAGTGGGGCCTTGTTCTTTCTGATCAAGGACTTGTAACAGACTGTTTAATACCATTAGCTAGTCTTACTTCCAAGCTTGCAGAAAGTTTTGGCTGAAAAAAGTAGATCATGCCAGTCATGTCAGTGGATTAAATTGCGACTACCGAAGATTTGAAGCACTAGGAAAGCAAACTTCTCTTCTTGGTATAGTGAATAAAAGCAATACGAACCGGCGAAATTTCTTCCCGTAAACCTTGATTCGAAATGCTTTCGATCGTTCCTGTAACATTCTATCTGGCTTACATTAGTACTTCCTTCTGTTCTGAAAGGACTCCTCAGGGCCGTTACGCACTACATATGAAGCGAACCTACAAAAATCACCTCTTTTCTGGTTTTCACCCCTCCCAGAAAGTACAGGCTGTAACTGTGTAAAATGCTGTTCACTCTTCTTGCGGGAAGGCACAAGGAACCACCCTGAGCGCTGGATCCCGAACAGTGCTCTAAAGTTTCTTCAAGGGTGTCATGCGTCCATACTGACCGAAAAATTGCTCGGCGCCCTGTTGTACATCAGGCAAACAGCAGGATCTGCACGGGCGAAAGGTTGGTAAGTTCGAGAATGTGAGGAAATGAAGGAAGCAGGATCTTCTTGGAATGCGCATTAATCACTTGATTCGCGCAACATAAAAAAAAAACGGAGATGAACAAATTGGTCACTGAAGAAAACTGTTCCTACGCCTGCTTCTCCTGAGCCAATGGGCTGATTGATTTCAACAATTTACCCAGCTACCCAAAATAGCTCAGTCGTACCATCGACTAGCAAGGGAAACCTGTACAGTATGTCAAGAGGCTCTTACGGCCTCTTAAATAGGCGAATCATCTCTTTCGCTCAAGGAATACTAAGCTTTTGGTGCTGATGAACTTCCTGAGTTGTGTTTGAAGGTAGAGGTGGAATCCTCAGTCGGTGCCTGTTCTACGTATTTTCTTCCATCTGGGATGTAGACACCGTTCCAAATGACTGGGATGAGTCGAAGTAAGTGATTTTTTTTTACAAAAACCAAGTTCGCGGTGAGTATGACAATCACAGCGCAGTTACCTTAACCCGGTTTATAATCAGACTCATTGCATTCCTTATTTTATGTCATCTCACGAGGGCACATGGCGGCGGCCCCGAGAACAACATGAAGGTTTTGGGCCGAGATGATATTGTGTAAACCACGTTTTAGCATTTCAACAAGTGTTAAAGCAACGGCATATCTATAGGATCACAAATCGGTCAACGGTATTTCGGTATACGTACCGCATGGTTCCGCCCTTTAGGTGTTCGGTGCTGGGTGCTTTTAACGACAAAAATACCTGATGCAAATAAAAACACTATTTCATGATGGTCTCGCTGTGAATCCACCGAAGTCATCAGATACTGTTACGGTTCGACCACGCAGCGAGCAAACAATAAGATATGCGGTCTGTGGCAATATTCTATCCCCAGTTATGTTGCTTGATCCAGGCTCCTAGCACGGAAAACAGTAAGGAGACTAAAACCTCAGGGACAACTTTAATAATCCAAACAACACGCGATCAACAGGCTAGTCAACGGAAAAACAATGCACATATATATATTCATAGTTTGACTTTGAAAATGTCGGAAGTTCGCTAGCACACAGAAAGATACAGGGCTTCTGGGGATATTGATATCCCATGCAAACCTACAAATCTAGTCAATCCGTTGACAACTCTTCTGGTTAATGCACGTGTTCATTCTACCAGACCACCTGGTAACCGGCGGCGATTCCATCCCATTCGGTTATAAACCATTTTCATACATTTTCCCTTAGGTTGCTCCCTCATTCACCACATTGGCTTCCAGGTTTCAGTCTACTGGACCAGGCCGAAACCACTTCGCTGTCTTTTTTGACGCAGGAGCAACCTCTCAGAAGGCAACACAGCCAATTTCTAATGTTGTCAGTGTAAATAGTATGAGTTGTTACGCACGATTTCTCAACAACCAATAAAACGTTAGTAGAGTATGATTACAGTGCAGTTCAAACCCATCGCACTGCGGGGTACGATTTTGGAGCCGAAAATGTTGGTATCGAAATAATTTATAACCCACTCATGACTGTAAGGCAGCTAATGAAGAAAACTTCCTCTACTGTTGGTCGTTGTGCTGATACTTTTACGCACTTTTCAGGTATTTGCACTCATAAGAGCGTTCCGCAACAGTGTCACTTGTTGACGTGGTGTACTGACATAGCACCTGGTCATAGCTAAAAGTTTTCGTGTGACATTCGTCAGATCTCGCATTTTTCGCCATCGTTTTTGGGCTACAGGCACTTATCAACCTGCACTGTTGAACAATTGCCTTCGACTTTGGTTTGCTCACTGTGTACACAAATAGTATACAAGCTCCTTATTCAGCTGTTTGTCCACTATGGAGCTTCCATTTTAAACGAAGCCAGTACAGACGAGCTCATGTACTGACCAGGAAACTCGAAAACGGCCGCGGCGTTCAACCATTTAACCACTGGCCAGCACTCTGCTGAAATGATGAGCCATGCAAGACTTACTATGTTTCCCATAAGAGGGTGGAAGGCTCGGGCGATATTAGAGGCCATTCATTACATAAAACATATCTGAGTGTCCAGACGCTACTACGACTCTTTGCAAAAGACCACTCTTGTATTCAGGATTCAAGTTAGGCTTAAATGCGCCACTGTCACCATACAACCCCTCGTCACAATTCCGGAAGTTAGGTGCCTACGCAAATTTCCTTACGGTAGTTACTCTATTTTTCAAAAAAACACTCGATTTGTCTACCTTGGCACATTTTTCAATATCATACATGGTGATAATTTCTGCAACGTCCTTTCTGAGCTTTACAGCTTGTCCTCGTGATTACTGATGATGGCTTTGTATTTAAACTCTGCAGTGTTTAAGACTCAAACATACATACCGAAAGGTCTGTGACACGAACCCAATCCCAGCACCCCGGCTGCCCCTTGCTAGACTTGGGAACCTTGGCAGTAATTTAGTTCTCATGCTTCCTTCAGGTAATATGGCAGGTATGCACCGGAATAATGCTACAGCTGGAAGACAGTATCCAGAACAAGATTCGGGCATCCAAGCATAAATAATTTAGCAGGCTTAACCAACTTTAAGGAACTTGTCTTGTGCAGAACGTTCGAAAAATTTAAGGTGATTTACTAGGAGCCACATTGAGTTCGTCTTCAAACTAACTTCAAACTAATGGTAGCTCGGGCGCGTTTACCGGTGGTTACCGACTTAACTGGGCATTGACGGTGTCTCGTCGACTGGGGCCAAAGTGTTTGCAAGCCAACTGGCAAGTTCGGCGAACAGGTCAGTGTCCGTCTGATCAACCGCTAATTACTTCATTTCACGTGAACTCCACTTTTATAGCTTTCGTAACGCACGCGTACAACAACTGTAGTTTTGATGTAACTTCCAGTAAAAAATCAAGACCTGGTATGCACCGAAGTCTGCGTAACCAGTATAGTTGTTTATCAGTGGAAATACCTTCTGATTTTTCATCGTAAGCATGGTATTCTAGAAACTTAGTCAGTATTCACGCTACTGATCATTCTTGTTTCCCATTTCAGCTTGAGGTTTACGACCGACAAGCTGTTACTTTAAATGGCAGCGACGAGCGAAATTCCCAACACTGCCAACATAGGCTGATATGTAAGCAGATATATAAAAGCCAGCATTTCCGGCCTACAAGCTTGTTCTGTTAACAGACACGCACAATCATCCAGTTTTGATCAAATGCGTGAATTCGCTTTCCTTGAACGCTTGGCAATATATCCCATTTGTCCACAACGGTTTCGTCCTCAAATATACGCAGCAGTTGACAATGGTTAAAAGCACATGGGCCAGCAAATGTTTCGAAACCCCATAGTCTTTCGTCAAAGTGCACCTCTGATTTTTTTAACGACATCCACTAGTACTGCAGTTTACAGAATGAGCAAGTCGGTGTGGTCAGCCACAAATTGACAGTGGCGTATGGTGTGCTGGGTTATCACACAGATTGAACTAGGGCGATATCTAACAACTGAATTTGTTAGCTAGAATAGTAGTTGCTTTTTTTCGTTTCTGCGAGCGTCTTGCTCCGTAAAAGTCACGATTTGTTTGAATGATTACGAAGGGTTTTTACAAACAACAAATTAATGAAGAAAATAGTTCTATTTGAACTCCTGTAAGATGACACGTTTCGTAAATGTTGGGGGAGTCAACATAATATAAAACAGAAACCATCGGAGACCGTTAGTTTCCTCAGAGTTCTTCTAAATCACCCTATGAGAAGGAATTTTTGCACAAAATGGAATGGTTCTATTTTGCTTACCGAACACTAGACTTATCTAGCAACATCAAGCAAGAATTTCAAATGGAGTTTATCGAACAACCTGAAGAGTATACAGTTTACAAGATAATTAATTTGTGCAGACTCAAATTAAAAAAAAAAACAGAAAATATCTGCTTGTCTGACCACTGTTTGTATTTGGCAAAAATGTACATGAAAATTTGATACAAGCTAAAATGCGTGTTGCGGTAGTCCTGAAAAAAAGTAATAGGCTTTCTTAAAATATTCTCATCAGTTCCCATCATGCTGCTTTTGGGGACGCTTTGCAACTACTAAGGCACACAAAGCGATCCCGAGACCTAGTTCAGAAATGGGAGACAGTGTTCGTATAATTAACTTCAAGAATGCAGAGTGGAGAAATAAAATGCGCGCTTTGACTCCTCTGGTTTCGATTTGTAATTAACGCTATTGCTGCTTTACGTGCAGTTTGCCATTGACGGTGAGATCTGGAGTAACAGTGATAAGTTCTTTCCTTGGGGGTGGTTTTGGGATCACCTTGATTCGTGGGTCATCGAGCATCCGCGATCGGCTGAAAAATGCATGAGCGAGTGAAAATTTTTTGGAGATGTTCAGTTTGCCTGGTTCGTCATTGCTCTTTCGCTGAGTACCAACGAGGGGTCTTAGTGGATAAGGTCAACAATCCCAAGGACGTCAGCCAAACAGAATACCAGCTAATGAGTCATTTAGCAGTTCTCCATACGAAAAACAACCAATCACGATCGAAGCTCAGGCCGGATGAATGGTACGTGTTTAAATTAAACTACTCAGAGCAATTCCTCTGTCATCATACTCTGCTTCACTTCACAACAACCTACTAACAACTTCACCCAGAGTAGTGTTGAAATGACTGCAACCTAACCTTTCAGCGCAGCAAACGGACAAAACAAACGCTATATTGAACAAATCAAAGAACACAAATCTGGTTGGCCATATTGGCCGAAAATTGGAAACACTTTCCTCATGAGCCAAAAGAAAAACTAGAAAAGGCGCTTTGTGTTATTTTTTATGATCTGGTGCTTTCATTCTAGAGGCCAGTTGAAACCTGGGCTGGCTGCATTCATATCCTAGGTAAAGTATTTTCGACCTCATCGGTGAAACCATGGTTGTAGTGAAGTGCTTACTAACCTAATGGAGAGGACTACCGTCCGTCGCATAAATAGGTCTGTCTCATCGTTACAAATCAGCTACGTGTAATGAAGTGGTCAGAGTAAATTAAACGCGGTCAGCTAGACACAAGGAGTTGTGATCTGTGCGAGTGGATGCAAGATTCTGCATATATAGGAGGTGGTTGCTAGGTTAGACCAAAAGAGCCCCAATGCCTCAGTCTGAAAGTTTTAACCTGCGTAGTCGTATGATTCAAGAAACACCGTCGGCTCATCAGCTCCTTATTTTTCTTGCCCAATGAAACTTTTCTTACATCTGGATAAAGTTCAATCCATAAAAAGTTGATTTGGTTTTATGAATTGAAAATCGTTCGGCTCTCAGCATTAGGAACAAAATTAGTTGTCATTCTCTTGTTCATTGTGAACATTTTCCAACAACCGTTGGTCACTTCGTAGGACAGTTTTGTATTGTAACAAAACATACTTGTACGTTTTTTCTTCGAATTTGGTTGTCGAAATGTTTATTCCAGATATATTTCAGCAGGTTTCCCTTTTTGGATACCCTGATGTTATTAAAAAAATAACCCCAATATTAAAGTAATAAAAGCATATCTCTCTGTGATCTTAATAGGGGAAACTCAAAGTATTCCATGCAACTTAGTGCATCTCAGCTTGTTAGATCAATACCTTGCTATTCCGATCAGGATTGCTCAAAGTTTACCCTTGTGTGACATATCAAAAACGTCAGGATGTGTTAAAATTCGTGTAGCGAGGTGAACTCGCAAGAGTTCTTTAAGGCTTACCTAATGAATCCCGAAACCTGACATGACTTACTTCACATTAGAGCGCCCATTGACAACCAACAAACTGTTTTTGTTCTCAATCACTTGCGGATTGACAGAGATCCCATCCAAATACTGTCGAAGGATTGACTTTAGCTGTTGGTTCTCCTGCTCTAGCATGGAATGTTCTTTCACCATCGCCAGGCGATCCAGTTGAACCTTGTTGAATCTTCTCCAGAACATTTCCAGTGGTGCACACTGTCGCAGTATCTGCAAAGGATTATATCACATTGTCATTTATGTATAATCTTACGGGGAGCAGAGCTGTTTGCAACTTACAAACTCGTTGCTCCACAAACAAACTGAAATACTGTTTAAAAAAAGGTTCGAATGAAAGATTGCTGATCAAAGTGGGTAAGTGAAGGGTCCACTAAGGAGAAAGGTTCCCAGGTGATTTTTTATCTAGTGGATACTATCAAACTGGTCGTCAAGCCACGAATGGTTAATGTGTCTTGTTAACGGAACGATTTATTAGTCAACACGCGCAAAAAACAGCCCATACATTCACAATATCATATTTTTCTAATTAAAAACGAAATATCTGTGATCATAACATAGTCTCATATGCGTTCCCATTGAGCATTCTAAGCTCTGCCGATGCCAGCGCATCACGAGCAATGCAAATCTGTAAAATTGAAATAAATGCAGTCAGTGATCAGTGAGAAGCATGAACAGTTCATGTGAAAAATCACTTAATCATAGAAAGTGCTCAGTACTAGGGTACTTTTTCGTCCACTGTTATATTTTACTTCACAATGTCTTTCAAAAAATTAATGGATGTGCGGCAGCGAAGCATCACTGGTGCTTTTTCACATCATCACAGGTATTGTTTTAATTTCTGAACATTCAAAACTTCACAAGGATAAAAACCATATTGTGCTCAAATTTAGCCATCCGACGTTCCAGAAATCATCCAAAGGAGTACTGGAAAAGAATTATTTTAGAACCTTGATTTTTGGCTCTGAATAAGGCAGAAATATTTGCAAAACGTTTTGGTCATCAGTGAATTAGTGCATGTAACCAGTTCACTGACTCCGGCGTCAGATTCTGAAAAAATCACTGTATCATTCATATGAAAGAAAGACTGCCCTTCAATAACTCGAATTTTTGCCGTTACACCAACAGCGAATATTTACTTAGAAATGATGAAGTTTCAAATTCTCTTGCGAATTTATTTGAGAATTTACCATCTTACTTAACAGTTTCCGCTTACGCGGACGTTTTGAACTTTATTTCTCGCGGCTTACGTGAACAGTCGTGACAATAGAACATCCGAAAATCTTATTCGTTGTAGGAACAACAACTATGAGACTATTGTGACGCTGCTTGTTTTCATAGCCGTTTGACTGTTCTTTGTCTCTCGTTCGCAAAAAACAGTTGAAAACAACTTATGTTTCGTGATTAATTCAAATATATTATCGTCGAGGGGTAACATTTCCGTATCTCTTCTTGTTCCCTTCCCTTTGAGGGTTCGGAAACCTTTAACCTACTTCGTGATCCTGTTGGTTCCTAACTAGCCCATATCCTCAAAACTCCACATTTCAAAAGTAAGTTACCAAAAGAATGAAAGCGTTCCTACTTGTCTGTGCAACATGCTAGTTTGAAGAATACAAGGACAGACATATGATCCCATCGGCCCGGATGGATCTAAGCTTCCTGTCTGTTCGCGTGCTAGGTTGTTACGACCTATCTTACTGTACGTGCAAACTAAAGAGCCAGCATTCTGTCATTGAGGCCACGATTTTTCCGTGAAAATAAAGTAGAGGGATTATATGGTTGGTAGAAATGCAAGCCTATAAACTTTGTTCTAGCATCAATAGTACAGCGACCACGCTCACTTTCTTGTTGTGGACGGCTACGTTAACTGAAAAAGCACAATATAGGGATTATCTCTAAGATGCTGAAGGTCAGTAAGAAAAACTGATCCTTCCGATGAAGTGGATAGGAAATTTAGACTTGGAGACTATTTGTTGCACTTTTTGTCACACACTTTTAGCTAAATAAGCAAAACCCAACTCAGTTTGATGTTCTTTCGCTTATTCAGCAATTATCTTGCAAATGTAAATGATACTGTTTCTTCCGACGTAGGGTGACTCTCTGCAACTGACGGAATAGCCGTAGTACTCCGTGATTGTTACACTGATATTCAAGGTCTCCTGATTACTTAAGATGGCGAAGTTCCTTCATCGACTCTTGATGACAAGATACTTTTGGAAATGACAGGATTATCAGTCTTGCACCGGTCCCTAATTCTAACTTCTTATGCTTCTTCTTAGCTTCTTATGCATCAAGTGTGCTCGCATTTGGAGTAGAAGCTTTCTGAAATCAAAATATAAGCAAAACAACAATAGCAGTTACTACTGCTGCGTGGAACCGTCAGTCGTCGATTATATAGGAAGATGGAATACAGGGAGAAGACAATGAATACCTTAGTCTCTTGCGATTTCCAGAACCTCCACGTGGGAGTTTTGATCCGGGAAGCTTTTAGCTTCATCTGGTTGAGATCTCGTACAGTATATCATCATAGCAAATACACGAAGACATCTGGTACCCAAAAACTGAGCCAAAAAGTGCTATGGGAGAGATTGAGAGATTCTGGTCGAGACTTCATTCACATATTTATTGGATTTATGGCTAACTGACTTACAGAGGTTTTGAGGTGAAATAATAGGAAAATATTGCAGAAATCTTTCTTTAGGGCATAAAAATTTTGATGCTGCCATCGACCTGTCGAGTACACCTTGATTTTTTTGAAAAGTAATTTCACTGTAGGAAGTAGGATATGTTTAAAATGGACTTGTTACCTGCTGCCTTACAGTACTTCCGTTTACTGGGATTAGATCCATATCAAAAAGACATTAACGACTTTATAATTCTCTCACGTAATATATATCCAAACGTACCTCTCTGAAAAATCGATAGGATCCAACAGTGACAGGAAGTTATGCCATCCGCTCCATCAGCTGATTAGTATCAAACTGTGATGCAGGGCCAATAGGCCAAAATGTATGTTCAACTTCAGTCTTCTAGTCGCTTGCATTCATTCTATATTACCTGGAACCTTTATTGTGTGTTATTTGATGACTGAAATTTATTTTGCACAACCAGAAGACAGGGCACCAGATGAATTTTTCGGGGACTTAAATGCTAACTTCTTCACTAAACGAGGACCAGTCCGATGCCTAAAGCATCATGAATACGGTAATAGTTTTATTCAGCTGTTTACCTAGAAACTCCATCAATGTTGCGGTTATTCCCTTCAATGTTTTACCGATTCTCCGAAGGTATGACTAGCAAGCAAACTACCCCTAGGTTTTGAAACCTAGATTGTATCATGTGACAGAGGATGTTTCTGACTGTTTCCGATGTTCCCATAGCTACCTGGCAGAGGGAAATTATTAACTTCATCATTCTCTTGGAGAATGAAAGTTTCTGTTCGAATTTGCCAGTGAAAACGCCTGAAAAATCATCTCGTCTTATCAAGGACGAGAATATCAGCTGGTTCTTAAAGTTGGAATGCATTAGCTTATTTATGTGCCTACTAGAGCGAGACATTTAGACATTTTTTCCCAGTAGAAAATCTTTAAGTTTGACTTACCCGATGTTTTGAACAACACAGTTGGAAGCAAATATATTGCCTGTCTCCAGTTGTCCTCTTATTTTGGTAGTTTGCGCCCACATTGAAAGCCTTTCATGGGAGCTTGGAAGTTTAAAAGTTCGAATTGGCGATTGCGCTCGCCGAAAATAGCTCGTATTCTGGGATGAAGTAAACATTAGAGTGCCTGCCTGAAATTTTGATTAGGCGGGCCGTATAGTTGTATACCGAAACCGCAGTCTTGTAATCAAATTTTCGTTGCCATTTGGACATGTGTGGCGCACCACATGTTCACGTAAAACCTGTCGGTTTACAGTACGTTGCTGTAATTTTCCATCCGGATAGGCCAACTGTATGTTGATGGAATGGACAACCAGAATAATTGAAACGCGCCAGCCGTAGAGACTTATTCGTGCTTCAGTTTTCTTCTTTCCATCTAAAGCTTCATCCAAATCAACTGACATAATTGTACGTCAGTAAAGCGCCAACCTTCTGCCTCGGTATTGCTATCAACTGTGATGGTGGTACTCAGGTGCTGAGCACTCAAAGTCAGGCGTATTCCAAGTTGCAGTGTTGATTATGATTTAAAGTACATTGGAGTAGGCCACTAAGAACAACTTCGCCCAATACCATATATCTGTTCTCAAGGACAAACGGTTCTGAACCACCGTCTTCCATCTTTAAAAGTGAGCAAGTGCCTGTCATTCGATAAATGGGTAAACTTATTTTAGCACGCACCATTAACCCACCTGGGCCAGATCCTCATCACCTTCAACCTGAAGTGCTTCTTGAACTTGCCGCTCTTCATCGGCTGTCAAACTGGAGACGTAAAACGGTGTGACTTTTTCTTCCTCCGTCTCGTACTTCCTACAATGCTCTGCCAGTTTGAGAATCTTCTCAGCCTTGTCTAATAAACCCTGTACCTGAAAATGGTAATCTGGGTGATGTAGTGTGAATTTACTTTTTTGATTGCAGCACCACTTTCAAACGACAATTTTACCAATTTCTCATGTTGAGATTCCCGTAGTTTTGTTAGCTGTGTTTTTAGATTCTGAAAGTGTGTAACTAGTTTTTCTCTTTCCTCCTTTAGATGTCGATTTTTCTCCTCAAACTCTTTCGAAACTTTGGCCATACGACGTTTGACAATTGCAATATGATCATTTATTCGTTGGAGTTTCCGCATCTGCATTTCGATTTCGGCGGCTGACTTTTCATCTTTTTGTTTTAGGTTCTCAAAGTAGACTATTTTCTCGTCCGTCGTTTTGGTGTACAAGGCAAGTGACGTCTTGAATTCTGTCCACAGTTTGTTGACTTTTGCTTCCAGTGATGTCCGGAGAGCATGTTTATCTTCCAAGTTCTGTGTGAAGCAGAAAAAACAATGAATGAGCGTGTCAGCCTTAGGTCATTTTGTACAACAGTTTGCTGGCACTCAAGTGGCTATTGGCATTTCCAAAGTTGAGTCCAAAGGACTGTCCGAATAAACTTTGTGTGATATAAACCACGGTAACAAGCTTGTTTGTCCAAACTATGTGAATCATGAGACAGGAATGCTCAGTTTTATCGAAGAAACCGAAGTAGCTTTAAAAATGGTCGGGAATCTTGTTCAACTCGAGAGAATTATCTGTGCAAGTTAAATACTTAAGAAGACCCACTGTGAAGATTGATTTGTTTAACAGTTCGTAACTGCGGCCTCTTCGTTAGGTTTACCTTCTTATTTTGGTTATCAACCATTAGTTCAACTGTATGATTGTTCACTTAAACAGTTTGTCACATTTGTGCCAATCGTTTTAGCTACTTTTTCGGCTGGAGAGTTCTGATTAGTTATTGGTTCTCATTCTGTCTTCCTGGCTAACAAGTGGAACATCATTTTCACCATCGGCGAACGGTGAGTTTAAAAATTCAGTAGCTGGTAACATTAACAAAACTAGCTTTTTCTATTGAATTCTCTTCAATGACTAGGCCATACAGTAAACGAGCGATTCATGCAAATATCCATCCTCAGGCTTCAAACTACAAACCATAGTTCCCCGAGAGCAGTCAATTTTATATCGAGTATATAAGTGTCTAATTCTAATGGAGACTAGAAATGTGCTGAAAGTGAAGTTGCCTCTTTGAGTCAGTTTACTGTAGTCAGTATCACCCTCCGTATACCGACGTTTAAGGCCATAATGGATTATTCTGTCGGAGATGAAGGAGCCTTATTTTTGCAGGTCACAATCTTTAGCAATCCACTTGCTTATTGAACTCAACAATTCTCGGCGCACCAGATTCTACTCTGTATTTGATCTCGTATACTCTTCGCTCCAATAACTTCCAAAAGTAGTCTGCGGTAACCACTGGCTGGAAAATCCTTATGACTTATTACTGGAATGCCATCAGATCAGATGCTCCAAGCTGTTATAGCTTTTGAGCCGCATAGTTCGAGAAATTCAGGCTAAAGCTAACTTGTCACACAGTCGCAATGAGAACGGTTTCGTATTTTTTTGGTGAAATGGTAGTAATAACATATAAAGCTAGTCAAAAAATACATAGCACCAGCGTTTAATTTGGATCCAGTCACCATTACTAATAAATATGTCTGAGGTTTAGCTGCAAGTCGCAACTAGACGGGATGTTGGAAGGCGCCTTTAGTCCTTCTTCTGACTGTCTTATTGAAAATAAGCTGTTTCTAAGTATAAATATCTTTTGGTAGATGCAGAAGTCTATTTGACGTTGAAATATGGTGAACTGTAACTAGGCTTATAGGGAAAAATCTAAATAGTAGAATGTTGGGAGTTCACTTTGTGAAGAGAATATAAGTTTCAGCCAGGAAACCGATGACAAAAATATGCTGTACAGATAATCCTGTACATAGCTGCATTTGACAAGATTTTCCTCGACCGCACCAACATGGTCATCATTAACAACAGTACACCAATTGCTTGTTCAATTGACACGCTTCCGCTAGGAAATGACTGAATAAATCGGATAAGTTCTGTCCATCACGTTGCAGCCAAAACGCACATACGTAAATCCTACCAAAACCCATCGGATATTTTTCTTCCGGTACACGTTGATACGAGATATCGAAATCATCTTTTGGAATATCAACTATCTGTAATAACTTGTACTTATGTGTCAAGGTCAGTAAGGTACCGGGACAAGTACAGCAGAGGGTTGTGTAAATAGTCTAAAAGCCTCACATTCCACAGTGCCTGATATATTCCTGTTTGAGACAGAGGGCTGTCAAGCAATTACGCAATCCGGTTGAAGATTGCAACAAGTCCTACTGATGGTACATTGTGCCAGATGATAACTTTGAGTCCGGCGTGCTATTCATTGGTAGCTTGTATTTTAATCCGTTCACATGATATCAGTCCAAAATAAGTCTACTCTGTCACAGAATGACGTTTGTGTTTTTCCGAAGCAGTCGTGACAATGAAGATTCTAAAGAAACTTTAACTGTGTATTTTCAAACTGCACTTGGTTTCCTGTTCATGCCTTATTGACAGGTTGATTGCCTCTCAGATATGCGCATCCAGCTCTGGACTTGCACAACACTCTGTCAGACTATCGTTTATGGTGTGTGCTTAAGCTCCTCATTTTTGTTACTCGATTGTGAAAAGCTCAATCGGGTAGGCCTTAAATAAATTGTTAACATCAGGCATACAGTGATTCACCCGTGCTAATTTTGTTCTGAAATCACGAAAAAAATTAGTAATCATCCAATGTGTTTGTAGCATAACCTGAAGCTTACTATTCAAGCTAATGATGTATTCACAAGCCTCCTACAATCACTACTGTCCTAAGGACCACCAGTGGTTTCTACATAAATTGACGTCTAGCTTGAGTGAAAACTGATTGACAAATATTTAAGAAAATCCGAAAGAAAGTTCCTGACATTTTACATCCAGTTTTTTCGTCCCAAGTACGATCTAGGATCACACAGTCTTAGATCAAGGTCCTTCTTCTGCTTTCCGCTGAAAGTTTGTTCCCGATCAAGGTGACATGGAGGTCAGTATTGTCAGTATTCAATACTAGGTCCAAGTTGGCTTCTAACAAACACCGTGAATTCCCCACCACCAGCATCATGAGACTATGTGGCTATCTATCCATACCTTCCCAGATCATCGGCAAACAAATTGTGACAGTTATAACCTCAATCATTTTTGTGGTTTTCAAGACTAATGATGAGGAGGAGGAAGAAGGAAGAGAATCGATCCATCTGTTTCTGCTACAATATTGAAACCGATAACAGAATGAGTTTTCGTTGAATTTTCTAACAACTGTAATATACCATCTGTTCTTTCCAGACATTTGAGTACATTAGCTGTAGACTATGGAAACAGACGCCTTCGGTAGGTTTTCATTTGGGAACGAACATCGTGGTTTCCTTTTGAAAACAACCGTAGGGTAGGCAATCAAGTGTCGAATACGGTGTAATGCTGCTTTCTGCCTGTTTAGTACATTCCTGAACAGGAACTGTACATTGAAGTTACATCCGCATCACTGTTCTCGGTATATTCACGTGATAAGACATCAAATGAAACCCATCGCTTCCGAAACCGATACATTTGCCAACAGTTAATTAACGTTAAACCTACTCGTAGAAGTGCCATTCTGCTAAGAGTCAAATCGTTCTCCAGCAGTTCAAAAGCATCTACCTGGTTTGATGTACAGAATTACTTCCATCTCACCACAATTATATTAGGATGAGTTGGTCATATCTAACAGGCTGGATGAGATTTTTATTTTTAAAGTGGAACAAAAGGGCCCTATTTGTAAGTAATATTTTGCCTCGAGTTTTTTCACTCCGCAGCCGTGATGGGACTTGCATTTTTGCATCTTTTGGAACAGCTGACCATCTGAGTCTGTCGTCTCTGCCTCTTATCCTCCGATCATGCAGTTTGATTAATTCGTTTCCTCTACCACGACCTAATAAGATAGCATCTTATCGGTCTTTTAAATACTTTAAAGTTCCAAATGTGTGCTCGTTAACTGGTTATGTATTTTATCCTGTCACTGGCTGCACTCCATGATATGACCACTTTTGAACTGCCCGAAATCAATAGTGACAGTTAAGAGCTTGTAATTATGATGGAAACTACATTTTGTTAGAAAGCGGACAAAATTTCTCAAGGTTCAACAAACTCAGGGATTGTGGATGAAGTTTCATAGAGTGGATGTGATATGAATTCTTGGGAAGATTTTTGTACATACCGTTGGGGTTCAGTTGCATGTAAATTCTTGCCATTAGTGTCATTCCAAATGCACACTAATCTGACAAAATTTCACCCGCCCGGTTCATGATTACAAATTCACTAAATTTAAATTGTTCCTCAATCGAACGAAGCTAGATGAGCAGCTATTCTATGATTTCAGTTCCTTTTGCTCGCATAGTTTATTGCACTGTTGAACTAGCGCGCATTCTTTTTCTGCACACCGCCATTGGGTAAACGTTTTGCAGTGAATGCTGACTACCGATGAAGGAGACTTCGTTTGCTGCCCGAATCGACAACTACTTCATAACCAACAGTTTTCGAAAGAAAACTGGTCAGCACTTTTCACTTATTCCGAACAACCATTTTTGCAAATTATGCCTTAAGGTGCCTTTTTAATATTGCGGTTCTTATAATGTCCAGTGCGTTCGCACGTTCGTTTACCTCATTGTCACTACTGATATATATATATATATATATATATATATACTGGGAATACCTACCAACCTGGTATGCACAAGATAGATTCTGTGCGGGGT